CTCTGAACTGTCGTGTGTCCTTCCTCCATTAAAATGGAAGGGAATTCCCTTACCTGTGTTTCATGCGTGTTCCAAAAACACAGGACAAGGAACTAGGCAGCAATGGTCAAGTAGCATTTGTAGGGCTTTTTTTCCCCCCGCCAAAGGGGGATTATGAACATCAGTTCCTTTCCATTCACCCCCCACTGCCCCCTCAAACAAAATTAAATAAAATCAAGAACATCCTAAATCAATCTGAAAATATCCATCTAATTAAAAATCAAAACATATTACCAAGTGTAAAAAAAAAAACAAAAAAAAAAAAAACACACAAAAATTTCTTCCCCATACAGATTGACAGAACAGCTGAGCTTCTAGAGCATCATGGAAGTGAATGCAGTGGTCACTCAGGAGATATGACTCAGATATATTCTCATATGGGAATTAGAGGGAAGAAAGCTCCATAAACAGTATTACTAAAGGCCCAGATCCAGCCAACTGAGATTTCCCCTCCCTTTGTCTTTGTAATACCACAAGAAATGAGGGGAATACAAGACAGTGAGGACAATCTGATGATTAACCATTCCTCATTCAAAAACAAAGAAAATATTTCTCCAGTAATAGGCAGCCAATGTGCACATATCTTTCCCCGTCACCCTCCAAATGTAACTGTCCCAATATTGCATTCAGAAGTAACAAGTCCTGTTATGGATCCCTATGATGTGTAGAGTTGTGGAGACTACCACATGTGATGGCAGTGATCTCCAGCAGTCCATTTTCTCCAAACTACAGTCGGCAGGCCACATATGTTCCACTGTAAGATCTTCAGTCCCACAGCAAGGGAAGGTAAAAACTCAGGCAGGCTGGCAGTGGATGCACCGGTCTGTATATCACAATATGGAGACTGGCACATCCACTACCAGTCTGATGGACACTCCTGTATGTAAGCGGACACTGATGCGTATTCTTGGATGTAAGGCGGAGAATGCTTTATAAAACTGGATTTTTTGGCCCACTAATATTTGTAAAATCCACTATGTAGCCATCATACGAAGGTCTGGAGACCCCTAAACTACAGCATTGGGGATACTGAATTTTAAAGTGCAGCGCTTTTGCTGTTTTTAATTTAATCTCCCTGGGGACTCAGAGCTTTATCTGCGTTTGGGGCAGATAAAGCAGCTTTTGGGCACACTCAATAGATTATTGATTATACAAGGGCCAATTTTTGCCAGGAGCCAAATCAACCTACAGGCATGTCTGGAGTGTGGGAGGAAGCATACGCAGGCACAGGCAGAACATTCAAACACAGAAACTCATACAGGGTCCTGAACCAAGGACCCTAGAGCAGAACCACTAAGCCACTGTGCTGTAGGTGTCGGGGGCTGCACTCGAGGCCCCTACACCTAGTAAACTGACCACCATTGTTCTACATCACTGCCTGTCGGTTGCCGTATAGCTGATATCAGCGCACGCCAACCCTAATGCAGGCCATAGACAGGTCGGCCGATATTCACACCGTTAGTGGGGCAATGTTGTCGGACGATTTTCGCGGTTCTTCTCGTTTCTTTTTATCAGTCATGCTGGAAAATCTACGCATTGGTGGCAGCATCGACCGATTTTTTGTTTATCGGCCGACAATTCGGCCCGATAAACGTCCCGTCTATGGCCTGCATTAGGCTGCTTTTCCCAGCAAGATACTGACAGCACAGTAAATTGCATGGCCTTCCTTTCATAAAGATATATCCAGCAAGGGTCAGTCAGTGAGTCCTCCAGCATATTTCTGGGCTGTGGGAGATGAACCAAGTAGATCTGGAACAAATTTTAATAAAAATGTAATATATTGCAGCTTACTAGTTCTTGGTGTGGTGGCTACATTGATTTTCGTCTCCCCTCCCACAAAGCTTCTTTAGCTCCTGGTAATCCTACAAAAAAAACACTTCCTGTCCCGGGGGGGGGGGAGCTACATCACTTCTCCACTGTCTCTATGGAGGGATTCATGGTGGTTACCCTAGGCTGCTCTACTGATATGGACTACAAACATGTCCTTACCTTGTCATCCCCCATTACATGGCAACTAGTTTACAGAAGATAGCTAGGAAGAATGGTATTCTTTGGGTGCAGATCAATGGAAGTGACAAGGACACTGCATTTCTGATAAGTCATTTCTAGGATTTAGTTATGCTTTAATATAGATTGCCTGAACCAATAAGAAGGCCCCAAAGTTGGAAGGCAGAGGGCCCAGTGTTTACCCATCACTTACCCATATAATAGAAAACAATGTGAAAATATGAGCACATCCTGAAGGCTTGCTGGAGTGCAAACAACTATTGGATCTGTTTGTACACATTGCAGCCAGTTCATTAGAATGCCAATTAGAATTCTAAGAGCTGAATTGAATGAAGTAGGATTGCATGAAAAGACGACATTTCTCTACTCTTCTATATGCAGGAAGATTGTACACTACACACTGGAGGGAGAAGATGATATTATAATAAGGAGGGTGAGGCGGTAATAAACCTGCTGCAGGGACTCCATGTAACCTCTTCATTACTGCAGATTAGGTGGGGCTAATACACAGCAACTGGGACAAACCCAGCCTGTTCCAGAAGCCAGAGTCACAGAGACCATGACCGGTCACATCCAGGAACGTCATGTGGACACAGCGGGAAGAGGATCTCATCACCAACAACTGCTGACAACCCCCCCCCCCCCCGGTCTAATGTCACACATCAGCCACCATTCATGTCCCCATCATAGGTAATGCATCAATATAACACTCCAGCCATGTGCTCACCCCATGCATATTCCTTACATGTGTCTGCTGGAATTCTAGGGGCTCCAAGGTTTATACAAACACTACGATTATCAACACACAATGTGACACCAGGCTGGCAGATCCCCCTAAATAAGGGGGCTCCATCATAGGAAAACAGGGGATCCCAGACTATAAGGTGCACCCCCCCCCCCATAAAAAAACAGACAACGTCAGAGAAAGGTGGACCTTCAAGAGTAGAAGAGTCCAGGGCCTAAATATAGGGGTGCAAAGCATCCCAAATTAAAAGAATCCCCCAAAAAAACAGTGAGCTGGGGCAACAGATGAAGGTGGGCCCCTGAAAGTAGAGGGAACTGGGGTTCATGGGATCCAAAATTGGCAGATTCCCCCTAAAAGACATATCAAGCTGTCAGCAGAAAATCTGGAAGGTAAGAGTAGGGGAGCAGGAACCTCAAAAAACCTGGGAGATTACAGAAGGGGGGGCTGGAACCTCAAAAAACCTGGGAGATTACAGAAGGGGGGCTGGAACCTCAGAAAATCTGGGAGATTACAGAAGAGGGGCTGGAACCTCAGAAAATCTGGGAGATTACAGTAGGGGTACTTGGACCTCATAGGGGGGCAGAGGAGACCATATTGGCAAATGGCTTTACAAGACCGGAAGGTGAGCTCCTGAGAGTAGAGGGGGGTTGAAGTTCCATCTTCGGGATATAGGGGATCCTAGAATGGCAGATGTCCCCTCCCCCCAAAATAATGATCCATGGGGCAGAGAGAAAGGTGGGCCCCTAAGAGTGTAAGGGTGTGCTAAGAGCAGAGGGGGGCTGGGGTCCAAAAGAGCCCATATTGCCAAATGGCCTGACATGGACATTACAAAAGAGGAACTTGGGCCCCTGAGAGTGGAGGGGTTTGGGGGTCAACTAAGAACACCGCCCAATACAATTCAGAATCAAAGATGAGCGAGAAAGAGGGTCCCTGAGAGTTAGGAGCTCTGGGGCCCCATCACAGGAGTACAGAGGATCTTGGACTGGCAGAGCCCTCGCAAAAAGACTGACTCTATCAAGAGAGGAAGGTGGGCCCCTGAACAGAGAGGTCTAGGGTCCAATCATTAGGAGTAATACCCCTGCCCCACCGCAATGACCCAGGATCAGAGAGAAAAGTGGCCCCTTTATGGGATGGGAGGGGCAGAGATTCCCAGATGCCCCATAAAAGCAGATTAGACTGGGAAGGGGGCTCCTAAGAGTTGAGAAGTCTGGGGCCCCATCACAGAGTACAGAGGATCTTAGACTGGCAGAGGCGCCCACAAAAAAAAGACAACCCAGGATCACAGAGGAAAGTGGGCCCCTGAGAGTATGGGGTCCATATACAGCCGTACTGGGGATACACAGAGTGATGGGCCCCTGACAGCAGTGGTTTGGGGGGGCCGCTATACAGGGGTGCAGATGGAGGCCCCTAAGAACAGAGTGCTGTGTGGCCCCTATACAGAGGTGTAAATGGACCCCGGAGAGCAGAGAGATGTGGGCTCCTAAAGAGGGTTGTGAGGCTGAGAGCAGAAAACTCTGAGGCTCCTACACAGGGATGAGGATGGGCCCCCTGGGATCAGGGTGGTGTGGGGCCCCTACACAGGGATGAGGATGGGCCCCCTGGGATCAGGGTGGTGTGGGGCCCCTACACAGGGATGAGGATGGGCCCCCTGGGATCAGGGTGGTGTGGGGCCCCTACACAGGGATGAGGATGGGCCCCCTGGGATCAGGGTGGTGTGGGGCCCCTACACAGGGATGAGGATGAGCCCCCTGGGATCAGGGTGGTGTGGGGCCCCTACACAGGGATGAAGGTGGACCCCCTGGGATCAGGGTGGTATGGGGCCCCTACACAGGGATGAAGGTGGACCCCCTGGGATCAGGGTGGTGTGGGGCCCCTACACAGGGATGAAGATGGGCCCCTGGGATCAGAGTGGTGTGTGGGGCCCCTACACAGGGATGAAGATGGGCCCCTGGCATCAGAGTGGTGTGAGGGGCCCCTATACAGGGGTGCAAATGGTCAGGCGTCTCCTCTGGTAGTCTGGGGAAGTATATCTCTCACAGCAGGGCGAGCTAGGAGCCAAGCACACATCCCCGGCACCCTCATGAGGCCAGCAGGGCCCCCACATGGGCAGTCACCGGCACCCAGCACGCTGTGACTCATCCTCCGGCCTCTCCACCACACCGCCGCCATTCTCCCCTCAGCCGGCTCTGTGTGGCCGCCATCTCCTCACCTTCTGCTCGTCAGTGGAGGCCTCCTCCGGCGTCTTGTTCTCCAGGTTCTCGGCGGACATGGCGGAGAGGATGCGGCGGCCTCAGAACACTGTCTGCCCCCAATCTGCCTCCAGACTCCTCCTACGCCAAGATGGCCGCCACACCGGCTACGTCACCCGGAGCTTTACGTCAGTACGGCGGGGGAATCCTCTTCAAGCGTGGGCCACCGGGTGACGTCTCCCGCCGTAGAGCTTCATGGGAGCTGTAGTCCTCTTCCTCCTGGCCGTCTGTTAATAAGGCGGCTCCGTGCACAGTGATCCCCGAAGAGCTGACAGATGGGGGAGGGTTCGTGTGCTGTTGGGATGTATACTGAGGGAAGACCTTCAGTCAGAACTAAAGGCTCATATTTCAAGGGATACGTCACCTTTACCATCAAAGCTGCCTATGCAGATAGCAGCGTCTGTATATAAAAACAAAACTGCAGCTTTCACCAAACTTGAATAATCCCTTTGCTATAGTTATAGGACGTTTACTTACCTCATGAAGCCTGACTGGAAAACTCCCAGGCTGTTGCTAGGACGTTGCTAAGAGAAGCCTAGTGTTACTGCTCACCCCCACCATCACAGGAGTGAGCTCTTCGATGAAAACCCCCTCACATGCCCTTTCTACCCTCTGTTGCAGCAGCTCTCAGTTCAGCATCTGAGAACTCACTCTGTAAAGGAGAAGGTGAACAGTAATAACTAGGAGTCTCTTAGTAACGTCCTTAGCAACGTCCTAGAAGTTTTCTAGTCAGTCTTCATGAGTTATATAAAAGGCCTACACCTATAGAAAGGGCATTATATAACTTTGGTCAAAGCTGCAAAGGTTTGCTTTTATCTATAGACAACCAGATTTACTGCGTCATGGATGAGAAATAGTGAGTGAAGGGGTAGAATCAGAGACAGAGCTCACTCCTGTGATGTGGGGTAAACAGTAACAGCTAGAAGTCCCTTAGCAACACCCTTAGCAATGTCCTAGGAGTTTTCCAGTCAGGCTTCATGAGTTACATAAATGGCCTACACAGGGGCGGACTGACAACTCATGGGACCCTCAGGCAATAGGGGATCATGGGGCCCCGTGTCCTTGCCCAAACTCAAAAAAGCCTATGAAAAAGGTACCAGGGGCATCTCATGGGGCCCCCTACTGACCCCGGGCAATGCCCGAGTTTCCAAGTGGTCAGTCCGCCCCTGGCCTACACCTATTGCAAGAGTAATATTCCACTTTGGTCAAAGCTGCACAGCTTGTTTGTTTTCTACAGATGTTCCTCACCTGATGACCAGGCCATTGCTTGTGATACGGCGCTGCGTTACTTTAACTGACAGAAGGTTTCTGACCTTCATGTATAGAATTCATGAAGATAACAAACCTTGAGCCTTTACAGCCACTGTAACCAGTTCCAGTCTCTGGGCGTTCTACACATGCCTAAAAAAATGTCATCAGTGTACATGGGACCAGGGGCAGACTGACAACTCATGGGGCCCCCAAGCAATAGGGGATCATGGGGCCCCTGTGTCCTTGCCCAAACTCAAAAAAGCCTATGAAAAAGGTACCAGGGGCATCTCATGGGGCTCCCTCCTGACCCCGGGCCCTCGGGCAATGCCCGAGTTTCCAAATGGTCAGTCCACCCCTGCTCAGGACTGTCCATAATTTTAAAGGGTGCCTCAGGACTGTCCAAAATTTTAAAGGGTGCCTCAGGACTGTCCAAAATTTTAAAGGGTGCCTCAGGACGGTCCATAATTGAGTGACAAAAGGTTGAGAAATATCGGGCTAGACCAGTGGTTCTCAACCTGTGGGTCACGACCCCTTTGGGGGTCGAACGACCCTTTCACAGGGGTCGCCTAAGACCATCAGAAAACACATATTTCCAATGTGTAAAGAGCAGCTACTGTGTAGAAAGCAGCTGCTGTCTTGAAAGCAACTACTCTGTTAAAAGCAGCTACTGTGTTGAAAGCAGCTACTCTGTTAAAAGCAGCTACTGAGTTGAAAGCAGCAGTATTGCAGGTAAAACGACACTCATGAATTATAATTACTGGGTAAATAATTTTATGGTTGGGGGTCACCACAACATGAGGAACTGTATTAAAGGGTCACGGCATTAGGAAGGTTGAGAACCACTGGGCTAGACCCATCCCATTATACCCCAATACCTCTAGACCCATCATCTGTTACATCAATATCTCTTGATCCTTTCCTATCCTGATACCTCTAACCCTTTCCTCCCTTACCCTAATACCTCTACATCCATCTTTTCTTACACCAATACTTTTGGACTCATCCTCTTGTACCCCAGTACCTTCAGACCCACCCTCTCTTACCCCAGTACCACTAGACCTATCTTCTCTTACACTGATACCTCTAGACTCGGCCTAACTTACCCTAATATCTCCAGTCCTGTCATCCCTTAGGCTACATTTGTATGGAAAAATACACCCCCTAGACCCATCTTCTCTTACACCAGTACCTCTAGACCCAACCTCTCTTAATCAAGACACATCCCCTCTTATTCTATGACCTCTAGACCCATCTCCTCTTACCTCAGTACCTCTAGACTTGCCTTCTCTTACCCCAATACCTCTAGACCTGTCTTCTTTCACCCCAGTACCTCTAGACCCCATCATCTCTTACTCCAATGCCTCTTCACTCAACGCTAAGACTGTTCCTGCCTTAATTTGCCACAGATTCTTCTTCAGTATGTCCCACCACCCTTCTCTTACACCATTACCCCCTAGTATAATCTTCCTATTCCTCAATACCCACATTGACTCTCCTGTTGTCCATGCACCTATTCCCCAGTTGAGGGAATGCTGGTCCTTTAGGCAATGGCCGGTACAGTGCAGTTGGGGTAATTCTTCCTCCTCCTCTGAGCATAGCTTTGAGGCACAGATCCCCAGGGGTCTCTGGACTAGAAGCAACTGATGATCTGCAGACTGCAAAGTTTGACAGGTGGCATTGCCTATCGAACCTGCCCATTGAGATCAATGGTGATCACATTGCAACCACAAGCCTAATGCTTGCCTGCACAGTTGCAGCATGGTCCTGCAAAGTAAAATTTAAAAAAAACAGGCATCAGGAAATGGCAGTAGCACCTTCTGAACATCTGTCTGCCCCAGTTATGCTGCCCTCTGAAAATAAATCTACCGTGAATCACTTTTCAGAAGGCGGTAATGTTACTGCCTTTCTGAAAGAACCCTAAGGGAGTATATCAACCTCTCACCATCTTTCATATGAAAAAATATTAGTCTGGCCAGGCATTAAAAGCATTACAGCAGAGTACAATGTCTGGCCAATGTACAGTAATGCACATTGCATGCATTGGTGCGCTGCAGTGGCATTTATTGTGAATGCAACCTTGATGCCCCTTAAAATGATATGTGTGCTGCCAAGCAGAACACCACAACACATTCTGGGGAATTATTTAAGAGTCTCTAAGACACGCATTAGGATTCTGACGTGCATCCACATGACAAATGCTTGCGTGGGCGACAGATTCATGTACCTGTTGTAGAGAAATCTGAATATGGAGCATGCACAGCTTGTTGAGGTGCACTGAGACCAGAACATCCACACAGGCAATGTGCCCTCAGTGCAGCTGTGCTTCATCCCTGCAGCTGCATCTGTCAGACAGCACAGCGGCAGGGAATTGTGTACCTGAGGGCAGGTGGCCAGATGGGGATTCACACAGTTTCTTCATCAGATCTGCTCCCCTTGTAATTGACATCAGGTAGTGGGAGGAGCCTTAGCTTATAAACAGCCTGCTATTGGCTAAAGAATCTGCCCACTGCCCAATTTTAAATAAAAGGCGAGATCAGACCTTGTGAGGAACTAGTGTCTCAGCTTTCCAATCAGGCTTCACCTACTACTGGTTGCTGGGAGGCTGCTGGTTGTGAAGCCAACTACCTCCTTAAGAGAGGCTAGCAGCAGTAAATAAGCCTGATACACTATTTATAGAGACAGGCACTATGCCTGTCTCTGTATGCCAAGTTAGAGATGATCTTAGGGTAGCAGCAGTAAATGAGCCTGATACACTATGTATAGGGACAAGCACTATGCCTGTCTCTGTACGCCAAGTTAGAGATGATCTTAGGGTAGCAGCAGTAAATGAGCCTGATACACTATGTATAGGGACAAGCACTATGCCTGTCTCTGTACGCCAAGTTAGAGATGATCTTAGGTAAATGAGCCTGAGCAGTAAATGGACATAAATGAGCCTGATACACTATGTATAGGGACAGTAAACTATGCCTGATCTCTGTACGCCAAGTTAGAGATTATCTTAATTACCTCCAGTTTTGTTATTTACGAACTGGAGGGGATTATTTTTTAATTTTGTGAAACTACCCTGAATCTGCAGCCTGTGGTGGTAAATATACAGAAACAGGTAGTAGGGATTTTTTTAATCTGGCACAGGCCTTTTTAAAGGGCCATAGTGCCAGAAAACTGTCACTAGTGCTTCACTGAATTCCCCTGATTGTGTCATGTGCATTGAACTGCAATAAAATGCAGTATGCTTCAAGTCCAGGTAAGTCGCTGTGGGTTTTTTTTTTGTGGGGGGGGGGGGGCATGGAAGGCTTCGGAAGAATTTACAGTGCCCTGGTGTAACTAACATTGTGAAACATTGCATTAGAGCCTCCATTCCAGTGTGAATGATTCCTCAATGAGTGAGAGATATAATGTGTACTAAACATCATTGATCTACTTGCATTATAGCAACCTAATGTGTTTTGATTGCCTTTAAAATGAATGTCGATCTGCAGGCTCTTGAATGAATCGTCTTTTATTTTTTTTTTTGTAAATAGCCATCTATGTTTAGACTTGTGTTCCAGTACTGCTAATAAAATGTATTGGCGCACATTCATAAGGCGTTACCATTGGGTTGGTTGTCTTGGCTGAATTTGCAGAACCAGAAAGGTATGATCTGACATTGTTGTGAAAACAGAATTTTAGGCAATCTATAGCAAACTACATTATGGCAACCGCCCTCTTCATTCTCCATCAGAAGCTATGTGTATTACAATACGTGCTGTAGCATGTCTATGCGATTGAACTTCTCTTAGATAGCTCACTAGATATATTTGCTTCCACATCTTTACACATCTACTAGGATTTGTAAAAACTTTGGAGTTTGGGGA